TCCCTCCCTCCCTCCCTTCCTTCCTTCCTTCCTTCCTTCCTTCCTTCCTTCCTTCCTTCCTTCCTTCCTTCCTTCCTTTTTTCTTTTCTTTTGACACAGGATCTCTTGTGTTCCCGGCCTTGAACCACTATACACCAGAAGGTAACTCTGAATTTCTGATTCTCCTGCTTCTGACTCTGTGTATTAGCAGCACAGGTGCAAGCCACCTTGTAGAGTCTTATGAGTGTTGGGGATCAAACTCAGGACCTTGTGCATTCTAGCCAAGTACTTTACCAAGGTCTGGAAGGGCAGCCATTTGCAGAAAACTGAAGTCTTCCATGGAGTCTTATTTTATGTGATAGGAATGGAATGTTTTATCTTCACTGGGGTTTCCTAGTGGCCATTCTGATAGTTTAATCAAAAGTAGGTCTGATAGTTTAATCAAAAGTAGGTCTGATAGTTTAATCAAAAGTAGGTCTCGGGGCTGGGAGAGAGCTCAGTTGGTAAAACACTGGCTATGCAAGCATGAAGACCTGTGTTCTACCAGCCAGGCAAGATGGTATATGTCACCCCAGTGCCAGTGAAATAGAGGCAGAGTGACCCCTGAAACTGGTTGGCCAGCCAGGCTAGCTGAACATCCCTTCCCCGCAATGCCCAGGATCAGTGAGAGGCCTTGTCCTAAAAAATAAAGTTGAACACTTTCTTATGTGTCTTTCAGCCATTTTAGATTCCTCTATTGAGAATTGTCTATTTAGTTCTATACCCCACTTTTTAATTGGATTGTTTGGTGTTTTGGGGACTAGCTTCTTGAGTTCTTTGTATATTTTGGAGATCAGCCCTCTGTCAGATGTGGGGTTGGTGAGTATCTTTTCCCACGTTTTGTCTTGTTGACTATGTCCTTTGCCTTACAGAAGCCTCTCCGTTTCAGGAGGTCCCATTTATCAATTGTTGGCCTCAGTGTCTGTGCTACTGGTGTAATGTTCAGGAAGTCGTCTCCTGTACCAATTAATTCAAGGTTATTTCACACTTTGTCTTGCAGAAAGTATGAGTCAGGGGAAGAATACATGATAACAAGAATGGAGAT